CACCAGAATTTCACGTGAATCTGCATCGACATAACAACACTTCAATAATGTATACGGAACAAACCTTATTCTCCTGACCATCGACGATACTGTTAAGACCGGCTGCAATCATTCCGATTCGATCGAGCACTTCTTCATATGATTCCCATTGGTACTCTCCCAATTCCCACTGAAATCGAATTTTTAACAACGAATTCAACGTTGAATTCATCACATTCAGTACATGAAATTGAATATCAATCATTGAATTCAACGAAAGTAGTCACCATATTCAAGAGTATCAAAAGCATTTGATATACGATACTGACTCGTCCCCGAAAAATTAACGAGTGAAAATATCACGAGCATTTTTGAATCTATTTTAACTGATTATCAATGCTCAAAAGAAATCGATGAAAGCGACTCGAATACCTTCTCGAACACACGACCATCCGGTTGCACTTGTTCGGTGACATCGATCAATTCTCGTGTTCCTAACGCTGTCTTATCACCGAACTTCTTGGCGATATACGTGAACACCTTATCAACCGTATCATTTCCATCGATATTTGCGTCGATCGGTCCTTCAACATTCACCCACGGGCTGTCTAATCCTTTCTCCGGTTTTGCCTAAAGTTCAACTCATTCAACTACCACCAGAACTCAAATTAAAATAATCCTCAAATTAAACCTTTCAACTGCCCGCATACGATATTCGGTTTTCTACATGTGACAAGATTTCATATGAGTGAAAGTGAGGGTATAAAGAGTGATTCTTTAAATTATACAATTTATCGACCTTTCAGGATGAGACATACAAAAAGTCACACTTCACACTCTTTATTTATTTCAAGAAACAACCGAAAACTCTAGTGAAAGAACTGTAATAATCAGAAATGTTCATTGAAATTCGTATAACTTGTACAAACAATCCTTCTCAATAATCATATCTAATTTCGAACGTAATCAATAAAGCAAAACAAGAAAGATATACCTTAATTCTGTTACTACGTTGTAGTTTAGCCGTTGGCGAGTTGAATAATTCGTATGGGATATAATTGAGACAATCGTAGATATAGAACCACGCTCGTAGAATAAAAATTATTATTCGAATCCATAACGGTGATGTGCCCTTTAATTTAATTTGCACTAATCGCTCTCATTTTGAATTAGAAAATGTAAATGAAATTGGTCAAAATTGTCTGAATCCACTTCATACCCGGGAAACCAGTTCTTAGAACAGTGAGTAAGACTTCATTATATGTACCTACACCATCACGGCATAATGATGAATACTTATTATCGTTGATAATACTGTCACAATAAACAGTTTGCAAAACATAATCAAATGTAAAAAGTATCAGACGAATGAGATGAAATAAGTAAAATTATTTGCAACGCAATAGCTGTCAATCAAAATGATCACCAGATGTCAGCATGAAACAAGGAGACACAAATTAAACATGAATGTTAAGCTGTCAGCATGAATTCAATGCAAACAGCAATTCAGTTATCTTTACCTCTACGCATGAACCCAAGTGATCACGCCACTGATATCACTGAACGTGCAACTAACTTCATATTAATTTTTACGAGCACCCACTTAGCATTGAAATACAAAAAGCCGATTGTAAGTCGAGAACAAACAAATGAAGAACCTATTGCAAACAGTAAAAGGTAAAGTATCTCCACTGAATTTCGACATTCATGAGCGTACTTAAAAATGTAAATTACCTCGAAAATTTTCTCGATTTTCTTCTTTTCTTTATCAACACTCTTATCGTATACGTACCGTCGATTCTTGGATTTATTTGGCATCTCTGATGATTTTCACAAAAAGAAACACCAGATGAACACTTAATGAAACACCTTTCGTCTCTTTGGCAGCAATATTAAATATGTTTTCAGTTATTTCTGCAAAATAATTTGAAGTAGAGAATTTGTTGAAAATCGATATGTACTTTCATATTTCAAACGAACATACGAGATAAGAGCACTCGAAAGAATAACACATAATCTGCAGCCATTCACTTTGACTACCCACAAATTCAGAGAAGTAGAATTGAATTTCCGGTTCGAACGCATCATTGCA